TATTTATGTGCAAAATGCAAGAAACACATTCGATGTCATTATGCATTCTTATAATGCCAAGATACTCATATTTTTGCCACTCCAAACACTCCTAATGATTCAGATATGTTTACGTAAGGGGTGCAAAAGTATTTTCTTTGTGAATCAATGTGTGCACTAAGATGTATAAGCCACCTGCGATAGGGTTTACTGACTGGCTAAAACATCAAAATGTTAGAATACCCACTTCATTTGTTTGCTTATAAAACATGTATGAGTAATTTCTTACGCTAAGGCTACGTTAGCTTCATGTATAACAAATAAATGAAATATGGAGATAACTAACATTATTCAAGCTCAAAAATCACTTAAACAATACAAATTTGGAGCAGAACAATCACGGACCTCTAAAACATCAGAGATGGTATCAGGTGCCATGGATTAGTGAGCAACCACTGCCGACTGGTCACATCCGCAATTTTATCCTTGTCATTATCGGGAAATAACGGGAAAAAATCCGTGGCTAATTCTGTTTGTAAATAATGGCTTATAATCAACAATAAGTATTAAAAGGTGAGTCATAAGTTGACTTAATGATAAATTGAACTTGCTGACATGGTTATTGTATCGACAAGAAATTATAACTTTAAACGAGATATCTGATTCTTGTTTCATCAAATTCTTCACCAATAACTAATTTATATATTGTTCTTACCCAGAGCATGCGCTTGCGTATGGAATCAACTGAAAAATATAAACCCCATATGCAAGTGATGAAGGTATATTGCTGCAGTAAGGAAAGTTGAGAATTTAAGGTTATCATGTTTATTATAAAGCGAGGTTGTTATATTACCATTACCATCTTTCTCAAATAAATTATCTAAACATGAAACAGATGTGTCAAACTCTGTGTATCTTTTATAAATTTCAAGCTCACTGGGATATATCTTATCGATATAAGAATGGAAATAACCATTGTTAATTGACAATCAGTCTTCAATATATCTAAATGTTGAGTTGAAGGCCACAGCAAGTGTTTTCTTTTCACATATAAGATATATTTTGGACAAATTTTGCTTCATATGAATACAAAAATAAATCTGCAAATAGAAATAATCAATTTTGACTAACAATATGTCGTCGATATATCTAAATGTTGAGTGAAGGTCACAACAAATAGTTTCTTCTTTTCACGTATAAGATTTTGAACAAATTCTGCTTCGTATTAATATACAAAAATAAAACTGCAAATGGAAATAATCAATTTTGATTTACAATACGTCGTCAATATATCTAAATGTTGAGTTGAAGGTCACTGCAAATGTTTTCTTCTTTCACGTATAATTTATTGAGAGAACGTATCAATACATATAGTTATATGTATCGTATAAATATTAACATGTACATATATTTGGGATGGAAAAATAGATTGATTGATTGATTGTATATTGTTTAACGTCCATCTCGAGAATTTTTCTCACTCATATGGAGACGCCAACACTTAATTGTCGTTGGAGAGATGCAAATTTTTCCCTATACTCGGCACTTAGGGCCATTTTGCAGGGAGAGATCTATTTCGTATCAGCATTTATTGCGACGCGGGACCTCGGTTTATAATATTATAAGATTTTTGTTGGCTATATATCTCTAGTCGATGAAATAAAAAAAATAGATATTGAAAACCCACCTGTGAATGTTAATTCGTTTCAAATGTCAAAAAAATAAATGTGGCCCTTTAACAGTTTTCCATTTAATTTTTTTATATTTCTATTGTTGTATTGTGATAGATTTTAAGAAAAAGCTTTGAAGCAAGACAGAGAATGCTCTCCCACAAATTTAATTTGACATGTTCTATGTGTTCTTGAAAAAAGACTTTTCAAAAAAATTAATCTTAAAAATAAAATTTATGTGTAATCTTCATTTGTGGCCTTATCCAATTCCTTTAAGTTTTGAGGAAATTTGAATCTATAGTGTACGCCCTTGCATATAAGAACGATTTATTACATCCCTGCTATTTAAAAGAAAATTTATTTAAAATTCTTTTTTTTTTTAGATTTCATTTTGATTATTTAACATGACTGACGTGTAAAGATCTAGATTTGAAGTCGTTTAATATATGAAGGCATATCTCTAAATGAATGAATAGTTCTCGATTGGGACATAAAACAAGACACAGTCATCATTATTCTCATGGAAAACATCTAATTCCATCAAAATTGATCCAGCGTTAGGATCGGGGCATGGTTTTGAAAAAAAGGATTTATAAACATGGTTATGAAATTATTCATATAGCGAGTAGTAAGCAATAACTTCAACGAGCTTCAGATACAATAACAACCAAAAGAAAAAAAAACATTATTTACATTGGTAGAAAATAATTTTTATATTGATAATTATCTTTTGATTCGAGTATCATTTGAAGCCTGAGTTCTCTTTGATACTTCGGTTTGTTATATTAAGCTTCTGTGGGCTTAACACGTAGAAATTTATTTATCCGCAAGTGTCAAAACAGGGGCACATTTAAATGCGGAAGTTCTTACATCGGCCCTCATCAAACTCAAGCTGTAAAACATCGATTTCTCTCCGCAGTTGAAACAGACAGCTGTAAATTTTCAATCACGTCAAAAAACGTTTCCAAAGTTGACAGCAACCTCATAAGTTACTTTTCAAAAGCACAGATACGGGCAAAACATAATATCAAATAGCGATGAAAAATAGCCTGAAAGAAATGGGAAGGATATCATTTGATATATTGATTTAGCTGTGAAAATGTAAAGTATTTCTGTTGATTGATAAGTTAGAACATAGTTTCAGGGGGGAGGATATATTTGATTGAGGAAAGTCTTCTAAAATCATTGCAGAGGAATTTTTTAAATATATTTCTTTTTCTTCGCTAAATATATTTAATCAATAGATGTACTCATCATTTATTAATGAGGGAGATGTTTTAAGTTAAGGTCCATCCATAGGGCTAAAGTTAAAACAACGAATATCAAATTTATCAAATATAAAAAAAGGTTATTTTCATGGTTTAATTTGAATGAATAATCGTCCTTTGCTTTCCCAACGGAAAAAATGAAGGTTCTAAAGAGTCCCTGGGATGTAGTTGTTTGCAATTGCTAGAAAACAACGCGCTTAAACGCCAGTCTAAGAAATTTCAAATGAAGAATGATGGAAAACAATTTAATGTAATCTACTGCTATTTATTTTGTAATTGGTTTAAGACCTTGTTATATTATCTTAATAAAAATATTGCTAGCGTGGTTAGAATTTTTTTCTTTCCATTTGTACAAAAAATAGAACAGTTCGCAGATTTTGTTTTGAAAGTTTTGCGTGAGAGAAAATTCAAACTTAATCAACTTTATACTAGTATTTATTTTATTTTAATTCATTATTCGTAAGCGTTGCAACATTCATGTAGTGAAATTGCATTAACTTTATGATTTGTTCCTTTATATTTATATATTATTGAAATTTTTGAAGAAATATTTTGTACCTTCATTCGTTCGTTATATTATAGACGAAGCCAGCTAAATTTTCAAAAGCATGTTTTCATCATTTTGTCTACTCAAGTCAGTTTTCATTTTCCTTACGTACCGTCTGTTAGAAGCCATTATCCATTCTATATAGTTAAAATGTGTGAAATGCTAAGCCTGAGTGAAAAGGATTCACTTTATGTGTTAAAAGATCGAGTGGTCGCCAGTTTAACGCCTCGATACAACGGTAATTTTTTGTTTCTTCTTGATCATAGAGATGTAAAAATAGTTTTTTGTTTACACGGGTGAGCGTAGGTCATTGGTGCTTTAATTTTGCATATGATGATACCATGTGCTCTCTTCGATATCTCTCCCTCTCTTAAAGAATATTTTATTAGCAACATGCAAAAGAGATTCAATCGTAGTGCTCGCATCTTCATTTTTCTATTTTACATGTCGTTGATCGTCGAAGGTTAACTTACCGTTATCAAGATGGAAATGCTCCCTCGCATCATGCATCTACAAGATATTTATCGATCCAATAAAATTTCTGAACGAAAATACTTAAATTTTATTTAAACCTTACAAAATGACGTTTAAACATAAGAAATCAATTTGTTTAGTCAACTTTAAATAAATATCCAATAAAATCTTTGTTGTTTTATATGCTAGAGAATCTATATTTGTGCCAGGAAGGCTGGCGTTTTTAAGCCAAACCACCACAGAGATAATACATTTGATAAAAAAAAAAAGGTTTCTGAGCAATTTTCAAAAGAGTGCTTTCTGTGCATTTTAGGATAAAACTTTGTATCTATATTTTGACCATTTCGAAAACATGGTTTCTTAATAAAATAATTTAGAAATTCATTTTGCAGGACCTTGCTAATTAAAAGAAATTTGCAAACAACCAATATATACTGAATCTTTATTTAGAACAGCAACCTTCAAATTCCTTAGCAATTTCTTATTATTTATTGCAACGTTAAGCAAACAATTGTTTCTAAAATAAAATTAGAAAATTCATATTTCAAAAACTATTGCTATATTAAACTATAGTACTATACACTTCTTTTAATCTTCAACGGAAAAAAAATGTCCTTTTACCTGCCAATCCTGTAACGGATCGATTCAAAATATGAAGCACTCCACTGAAAGGAAAAAAAAATGTCGCCCTAAGGTATTCTTCGATTTAATTTGAGAAGACGGTCGTATTTGGCGCAGCTTTACCCAAATCAACTTGATATGAGTTATTGTAAAATTAATATATATTACTTTATTGTTTTTATGTATGTTTTGTTCATCACAGTCATGTGGACCAGTCGTAAGTTTCTTTGACCGGCATATTTTATTTGGTTTAGAAGTATCTCATTTTCTTTATTTTATATTAGAATCAGGGCATTGTTTGGAAAAAAACTCAAGTATTTGGAAAAACGATTCAGCAAATGCCCTTTACGTTTTGCTTTATTGATTGGGATTTTGTTTATCAACTTTTGGGAACATTGTTTTTTTCACGGTTTTGATTAATAATCTTTTTTTTATTTGTAGACAAAGTCGTCAAAAGCATCAGTTATTTCTTGCAAAGTGCAAAAAAGGAAAATCCCTGATAGTTTTAAATGATCGATCTGCAATTGTGGGAGTAAATATGGACCGCAGTCGGAAATGACATTGAAGTTTACCTCATTACCATTGGATCATTATCTTCTGTATTTTTTTGTCCCAAAAAGGAAAGTGTGTAATTATACTGGAGAAAGTAAGCAGTAAATGTCCTTTCAAAACAGTCACCATGACAGTTTTTTGTGTTTAGATCGATGATGTTTCATAACCTTTTTAATATATACCATCTTGCATATATACTTTGAAAATTATGCAGATCGGATCAGATTGCGATCTTGATTCCTTTCTTCACTTTACTTCCACCCAAGAGATCGAAGGATCGCTATCTACACCTAATGACAGATTCGCAGATATTTTTTGAAGAGTTCGAGGAATTGAAGCGAGAGGTGTCGAAGATGACTCTTCCTGTGATGGACGAGTTGGACAGATTTTTAAGTGAAACAGATAACGCGACTTTAATTTTGCTGTTCAACGAATCCTCACGAGGGAATGGACCGGGTCTTTATTCCTTCACCGATGGACATTCCTCACATATTTTCCTATTCATTTCCTTTGGTATTTTAGTTTTTGCGTCTTTTATGTCGAATATATTTGTCTGCTGTGTCATCATTCGAAATAAGAAAATGCACACTGTCACCAATATGTTCATGCTGAATATGGCTGTATCTGATTTGATTTTGGTACTTCTAAATGTGCCTCTGAATATTGCTAGACACATCATGGACGAATGGACTTTGGGGAGACCGCTGTGTCATTTGCTGAACTATTCTTTAATGGCCTCTGTTTACGTGTATTCCTTTACCCTAACAGCTATAGCGTTAGATAGACATCGTGTCCTTCTCTATCCCCTCCATCCAAGAATTACCAAGAAAGAATGCATGGCTGTCATGGTCCTGATATGGACACTTTCGTTTATACTAGCCATACCGTACGGAATATTTACTGAGGTAGGATACGTTGATATTGTGTTTACTCGCATACAACGCTGTAAAGCCAGTTATCCTCATCCTAGTGGAACATGGGAGCAATATGTCACGGTATTTACTATCAATTTACAATACATTTTTCCACTCATTATAATTGGTCTGGCGTACTGCCGTGTGGTACATAAACTTTGGATTCGGACACACCTTGGAGTTGTCACGGAAGTGCAACGAGTCATTCAAATCAATGCAAAGCGACGGAGTATTAAATTGCTAATTGCCGTTGTGGTGGTTTTTGCTATATGCTGGATGCCACTTAATTTATACCACATTCTGACTGATTTCCATCCGGACACGACGGTGTTTTACTATAGTAGCACTGTGTTCTTTATCTGTCACTGGATAGCTATCAGCAGTACGTGCATCAATTCCGTATTGTATTGCTGGATGAATCCAACCTTCCGCTCCCAGCTTAGACCCATATGTTGTGGGGGACCTCCAAGAAACCAATTCGAACAAGATTACTTCGACGTTTACCTACAGAATGTTACATCACGACAGAATGTCCGATATTGTACTGTGAATTCCACGTCCTCATCAGACGGCCAGCGTGCTGAACGAATGTTGACGAAGAAATTCTCATACAAGATATCATTTAAATCAAAGGTGAAATACAACGAAACCTATCTTTAACATTATCAATTTATAGCTATTGCTAAATGTTCTTGCTCCACATATTTTATTGTATAAATGTTATAAACATGTTATAAAATGTTTTCATAAATTACAGATTTTGGTTCATCTTTTTTATCAAGCATTGCATTTACACACCTTAAAAAAGGTCGTTTTTTTCAAAGAAAATACTGAATTTCATTTCATTTTTAGACTTTATTTTTTCCTGTCCATTAAAATAAGCAATTTTCTGGCAATTTAAATTTTAATGACATATCCTAATATAAAGTACGTGAATAAAACCTTTTTTCAATTCATTTTTTAATGTCCATGAAAAAATAATTCAACAAATATAAGTTTTATTGTCATTTTTGCCTCACAAAAGCTTTTTGATCCATTAAATTTCTGATTGAACATTGTCAGGCGTCCATAAGTCTGGTTTATTTGTTTTAAGTATTTTTGTGTTTCTGTAAGCATGTACGTCCTGTAAAGCTGTCTCTCTCTCTCTCTCTCTCTCTCTCTTTCTTTCTCTTAATTCACACGACTCTGGTTGTAATAAATAAATGATCAAAAGATGTTAAAAAATAGATACCAAAATTGCAAACTTTCTTTCTGTGTTTAGTTTAAAACAAATTGAAAGAAACAATATTCCCCTTATTATAAAAGAGTTAAAAGGAAGTTATAAATTTTATCAATCATACAATGTATATAATTACAAAAAGGAGAACAGGACAAAGGCAGAGCCCCTTGGAAACATAAAAGTGTTTATGAGGAAAGGCATTCCCCATAGATTTGTATTAACCCCCGTGAACGGAGCAAATGTAGTCAAACTTAACACAAAACAATGACCCAACAATTGAAGCATATGTCAGTCAAAAGTTGACCTCATGATGGGCTGTATATTTATCGGTTCCCTCAAACTTTGAATTATGTATTAAGTATCAGAATCAAAATATAGTTTTAAAAATGTTACAAGTGAAAAAATACAAAAATAAAAATGTGAAAATAGGAAGTCTTTTTTCTCATTTGTCAATTGTAAAATTCGTTGAATATTTTTATTCTGATATATAATCAAAACTTTATAAAACACACCCAAAGAAGGTTTATTTTACGAATCTTAGTGTTTTAATTTAAATCCTCGTTATTGCTCATTTAAAATTCTCCATACACATTTTGTGTGTATTTTGTACCTCTCAAATTTGTTGATGATCACTCAAGAATTAATATTGTTCTGATATCATGATAAATTTTACTTCAAGCGACAGTTTTAAAAGGATAATTTTAGCTGGTGTTATACTAATTTTAATAGTCCATCTTAGATAAAGATACATTTCCCAATCAACAAACACTGTCACATAGTAACTAAAACCATTAATTTGCATTTAACAATCATCAATAAGCAACCAGTAATAATTTACTAATAATTGACAGCAAGTCGTTGGTATTAAAAACTAAGCATGTTGGTTCATGATGTCCATGGAACTACGGTTATTACAAAGCTGGTAAATATCACGAAAGGATGTGTTACCTCAATAGATTTATCCATAAATGTCCTTTATATAGGCATTAATCGATTTTTACATTAAAAAAAGGGATAATCAATAGAAGGAAGGTCAATGATACCCTTAAGTATTCCGTTACAGAATCTACTTTCATAACATTATTTAAAAAGTATATTTTACATTAATTGTACGCATTTTGAGGGGCTTGAAATATATGTCCCGTATTAATAATGATTTTTTTTCAACATTTTTAATATACTGCAAGTCTTAATAATAAGTACACGTTATCTGTATTCTTCAAAAGTCTTCATTGAAAGTGCATAGGTTTGGAATATATCTCTGTTCACAATGCTCATATGAAATTTCCATTCAGACACTAGCATTCTTTTGTGGATTTGAAAGGTTATACGTAAGTTTTTACTTGTAAAAATGTAGGTGTTTGACAGTCACTTGTTGCATATATATAGGACTTAATTTTACCACAGCATAAAACGTTATTTCGGACACCCTCGTATTTTATTCAGTTATCAATCATTAAACACCTTCTTTAACAGGGTATAATTTGCAATAGGAGACTTAAGGAGAATTTTATCTCACACCTAAAGCCTTTTTCCGTGCTTATAGATTTTGAAGTCTAGTTGAAATAGGTTAATAACAATAAAATACAATTTAAGAATGTTCTGAAATTGAGTTAGGTACACAGTCGTTAATATAAGTAAAACATGAGTCTTTTTATCTTATTCTACAGTTAAGGAAGTACAAAGTGTTTCTTCATTTGTAACCATTAATTTTAAATTCATCTTCCTAAAATTGATAATGAAATATGTATGGAGATAACGAACGGTATTCAAGCTCACAAGTCCATAAAACAATACAAAATAGGGGCAGAGCAATCACGGACCTCCAAAACATTAGAGATGGGATCAGGTGTCATGAAGGAGTGAACATCCCCTGCCGACCGGTCACCGCGTGCTCCTTGTCATGATCGGGATTTAACGGAAAAAATCCGTCGTCAATACTTCTCGTAGGCCTAATTAAAAACAAATTAAAACCCCAACACCTACCATAAATCGTATGACTTAACAACGTCACCGGTGTTTCTCATTATGGTTACAGAGCTCAAGTCCAAGTAAAACATGTTAATCATAGCAGGAAATGTTAAATAGCATTTACCGGCATATATCGATTTGCATATATTGCCAATGGCGACACGTATCTTCCGACATTCCTTGCACGATAATCACTAAAAATTTTCCTTCTAATATCTATTTATGTTCTTCAATCCTCTTGATACCCTGAAGAGAGAAGAAGATGACATGACATTCATATTTTTAACTTATTAACACAGAAAAGACAAATCTAACGAAAATTTTGAGAAAAAAAATTAAAACCAACCTGACTACAGCAAAGCAATTCCTAACAATTCCTGACCAGGTATTGCTTGGTAAAAAGAATCTATTCAGCAGATACTGCAACTTACACCCTTGATTATTAAGTCTAGTATTACAGCTTTTTTTCTGTGATAGAACAATTTAATTTAAAATCAACTATGTGCTTTTTATTTATATTTAATACATTGGATATATTATTAATAATCATGCATATTTAATGTAGAGACAATGACTCAAAAATTAATAAAATATCATTTTAAAAAATCAACAATTTCGAAAACACATCAAAATCTGTAACAAATAGACAATTTGCATACAAAAATATCAGCATATAAACTTTAACAACAAAAATTTGCGTTGATCATTTCACAAGTTTTACAGACTTTTCAAAAGATCTCTAACTAGTATTATTATATATCTATAACAAATTTACCCATTCAGGGCAAAACACTTCACGAATTTTGAAACAAGTAAATCAAAAAAAAATAGTCTTACATTAAAAGTTATGGAAGTTTAACTTAACATTTATAAAAAGATTGTAAATTACAATAAGCTCCCCTGCTTTATACCAGCATGTATACTAGTTTCATAATGCAAAAACAACCAATATCTCCTTTGAAACAAACAAAAAACCCTGCAGGCCTAAGTAATCATTTTAATCATTTTCGTAACATTTTGGAATATTTTGTTTTTATTTATTTTTTTTTTTCTTTTTTGCGTTTATCAAAAGCAACTGCAACTACTGTTCATGAAAATTGAAAAAAGAAATAAATATATAAAATTATGAAACATGGCAATGCATACAATTTTTCAAGCAAAGTAGGGAAAAAATATGACATGTAATTTGATTAACTTGAACAAATTATATTATTTCAAATAAAGGTAATAGCTAAAACCAGTAAGTCTAAAAAGAGACGTGTGTCCTTTGATGATGTGGGCGTGTTCATTTATTACATTCAAATCAACATAAACTGAAGGAAAATAAATATTTTCACATATTTCAGTACCATCCTTAAATACATGTAAAATAGTAATAAAATTAACTGAAATTATATTTTATGTGACATATTGAAGTCAACATTTGCAAACACTTTTTACTTTTGGAAACAGAAAAGGCAGATTTTTATATGATGAAATACATAATATTAACAATACAATTTTAATTTGAGATGCGACAACATCGCTACTCAAAATAATTTGGGAAAAAAATCATCATTTAATATTTTTAAGTAGTTTATGTGAAATTTAAATTTCAATGAAATAATGCAGAAAATGGTGGCGGTTATCAAAAAGAAAACTATTATTATTCATTATAATTGAAAAGGACATGTGTCATAGATTTAAACACACATGCAAACTCGTAATCACAGAAAACATTCTGCTTTTTCATTAATACATTCCAAGCACAACAGCGGTAGCATTAAATGCAACAATTTAATATCTCATCTCACACACTTGTTAAACGTTATCAGCACTTACGCAGAAAACAAAATATAATCAAAAACAATCAATCCTTTCCTTTTGAACCACTATAGATAAAACCAGCTTAGACTTCCAATACATAAACTTAGAACAGAAAAGCAAGTGAAAGAGCCTCACGTTCTCACTCAAATGTTTTCTCATAGAGAACACTTAAAAACATGTTCAGCATATGGAATTGTTCCTAGAAATGGTCCTTATTAGTTGGACTATACCAAAATAAATACAGAAATATCTACATTTAACAATGCATCACAGTCGTGGTTTTCTTTCTCACACTTATACCCATACATGTATGTGTTGATGCCTACGTAATACAAATTCGTTCAAGACAAGTTTGAAAAAAAAAAAAAACGTTGCCTGTGAACACATATAAAATGCTTAAATGTTAATGAATTTAAAAAAATAATTTTTCACAGCAAATGTAAATAAAATGGAATTTTCTAAATTCTGGGACAGCTATGTTTAAGTCTTGTTTGGCCGGTTCCACCAGCAGCTAAAATTAATGTATGTTTTCTGAAAAAGTCTACCAAGTCCACCACTGTTATAAATGTCTGAAAAATAAATTTAAGAAAAACATAAATATATTTATATCCTTCTAAATCAATAATTTTATAAATGATAAAAAACTTCATTCTTAAGCCACTGTTTTGAGCTTTAGCATTGTTTTGAATGTGGTGTTGTGTTTATTATTGGGACGAGGAATTAATAATCTTAATATCTATTTGAAAATCGTCGTTATAGAAGATCTTCAAACTCTTTCTTTCCTCTAATCAATAGCAATACAAAACAAGGAAAATATTTAAATACACTGACTACAAATTTATTAAAATTTCAGAATTTATTTTGCTAACGAACAAAGTCACAAAATCACATTTAAAAAAAAATTGTTTGTAGTTGTTATTTAAAACAAATCTTAAAACTTTTGTAACTTTTATTCCTAGTTTTCTTTTCATTGCTTATGAATTGGATCACTGTTCGCTACCTTAATCAGTTTTTTCTTTAATACTTTATTATATAAAGAAGCAATATGCATAACACTTTCAATAATTTTACAGGTAAATGTTAATTTTTAAAAAAAAAAAAACAGTTAGATATTTTGTGCTATTCACCTCTTCTGCTCTTTTTTCCCTCCCTAAGGCGAAGGTTGAGTCTGCCCGTTGTCGTATTGGGAGATTATAGACCTTCCTGTCATTGTAGATTTGTAATGTGTATGGCTGGCCAGCTTTTGTACTGGGTCTTATTAAAAATGTTCCATTCTAGAACAAAAGTAAATAAACACGTGAATCAAATAAGCATGTTTAAATGCACTTTTTTCCAGAAAGATGTGTTTGCTTCCATTTGTATCTCTTCTCTTAAATTTTTGTTATCCTTCAGACTGAACACGAATGAGAAATTATCTGAAATAACCACCTTTCCAAAATTCTTCAGTACTTCGTCCGCTTCTGCTCTATTTACATTTTGGTACCAATCACACTGCGTAATGTCGTTCTGAAATTAAATTAAAAATTGACTCACATTATTTCAAATAAAATGTCCATTCCAATTCAGGGAAGACAACTCAACTTTAGAAAAAGAGTCCTACCTCCTCGCCAGGAATGGGAGGTGGCTTTCGATCAATTACAGAACCTACAATGACGTCAAATAATTGTTCAATAAAGGTGAGGCTACAACGAATAATACAAATCAAAGCTTTGTCTACTGATAAGAAGTGATCTTTTCTTTTGTAAAAACCATTCTCTATAAATTCTTAAATCTAAGGAGAAAATTCGACATTTACTATAAGCAGGGAATAGCAAGAGTTGTTGCAAATTCAACGGGTCTGTTAAGTTTTTAATCTTAAATACATTTAATGTAATTTACAACATGCATTATTGGGTAACACATCAGGAAATTTTTCATAAATGTTCTGAAAAAGGCTTTTATAGATTGTGATAAAAAAAAAACAACAACACTCGTACTCTACATTTTGTAATATTTTGAAACGTGCCTGGACATTTACTTGCAGTGTTATGTATCATGCACATAATTCAGAACATAAAATGAGACATGCTGTTTGGGAAACAGAAAATACTTCAGTGCAAGAAGAGGACCTTATAGAATATTACGATATCCCTCACCTCTCCCCTTCGGTTTGTTTGTGCTACTGGGTACACCGTTTGTCCCTCTATGATCTTTAGGAGTTGGAGGTAATGACCTGCCCTCGTTGACTACAGGAAAATCATGCTCACATATATACATGCATCCAAATATTTGAACAGACAAAAAAGGAGAACAGAAACAGACGGACGGAAATACCGATTACTATATACCCTCCCACTTTTCAAGCGGGGGGTATAATAATGAAGATTCTTAGTTTTCGTGATTTCAAGCTTAAGAGTAACATTGTTGAGACACATGCAGTGATAGGATCGACAGGGCAGGTATCATACATTACACATAATACTGTGATTCTTAACTTTGCTATGAAATTTATAATGTGTAAAAATAACGTAAAACTCGTGTGCAAATTGGCTAGAACTTATACTGTGAGTTTCACAAATATGTGCATGTACATGCATATCGATAAAGTTATAAACAGATGAAACACAAACAGGTAATCATATTTTATAAGCTCAAAGAGTATGCAGTTGAATTTGACCGAGAACTCATTTAATACTCATTCTAAGATTAATATCTTGAATATAATATATTGTTCTATAATGAACAATATATCCTCTTACTTGGAGTGGATTTGTGTGGGGTCTTTGATGTTGGCACAGGGGGCGGCGTGTTTTCGTCTGATAAAAATAATCATCAAAATCAAATTAAAGCAATAAATGAACAGTGGCATGTTAACTGCTACGTTAAAAGGATATTTTAAAACACCAATTTGATTTGCAAGGAGAAGAATTACATTCATATAAGTAGTCAGATATTTAAGTAGAGTGATGCTATGACCGTTCTGCATGGATAGGTTTAGTTATTTACATTCAAAGTAATTACCTTGGGAGCCCCTGTGACGGGCATGTGACGTAGGCACAGGAGGAGGGGTACTCTCATCTGTAAATTGTTAATCTAAAATTATCCGATGTCTTACCCTTTTTCATGATTAATTATTTTTTGAGAAGTGATTGTCAATTTAATAATTTTCTTTACTTTGAAAATATACATGCAGTTATATATTTACATGACATTAAAATGTATTACATTATAATATAAATCGATATACACACTCATCAAGTTTTTAAGAAAGGTTTAATATACACTTATATACTCTTTAAAACGAAACTGTAGCAAGTAATTAAAGTAGTTAAAAAAGCAGAAAAATTTTAAATTGGACTCATACCTCTTGATGAGTGCTTTGTGTTTAGTGAGTCAGCTGTAAGAAGTGTTTAATTCAGAATTACTGTATACAGAGTTAGCATAAAATATAATAAAAAATAAATAATGTTGTTTCTGCTGAACTCTGTCTTACCACTGAAAAGAGTACAAAACTACAATGGAACAATTTCCCTGTGCATGTGTTATAACATTAATTTTGTAAATAGAGTATGCAATATATAGGCACTTATTGGATGTTAATTTCTATATTAGTATTTTTCAGGTGAACTGATCTAAATTAAAATGTACATGCATACAAAAAAGCATTGTGATAAATTTAAAGAACGCCATATAACAAAGCTATTATTGTACACACCAGCCAAGTCAGGTCTATAACCAATTACAGGAACTGCTCCTGCTGGAAGCTTTTTGCCAGATTCTACAAATATCCATGGTGTCTTAAGCAGATGCACGCATGCACAAATTCATATACAACGTAATATACATGCCATTTTACATACAGTGAGAAAAACATAACGAATCAGTATTGTGCATATTTTAAACACAAAAATTATAATCTATTTATGCAAACTCATATCAATGCTTTCTTGAAAAGAAAATAAAAAAAATAACTTTTATTAGCAGTTGAGATGCAATTAAAACTGAAGTGTACAGACAACATACATTTTTGTTAAAAGATGTATTTTGAGTAATATGGAATACGAGAGTACAGTTTTTACATTTTAAAAGAATAAAAGATTTAATTTAAAAACATTTATCATTCATTACCAGTTGTCTGAGGTGGAAATACAGGAACCTTTTTCACTTTTAATCCACCTTTAGTTTCTGAAAGTTTCATTAATTAAAGAAATACAATTCAGTTAGTTTATCAGGTACATTTCTAACTTTGATTACACAGAAGCAACCCATATCAAACAACATAATTCTTTAAAGCCATACATGATCAAATAATTACATATTTCATGCAAATCCCTCTTGGTCATCAAACATATCTTCACCTAACACATAAATGTTGTCTTACAAATAAATCTTAACAACAAACATACATGCTCTTTTTATTGCCATATTTTTTTTTCGAATTTGCCTATTTAATTTATGTTTTATTTAAGTGCCTTTAACAAGCAGTATTGATGCACAAAAAGCGTATATAGGATAACATAAAGCATTGTTTTTCCTGTGCAGTTGAATACCTCTTGGTGCTGGCGGTAACCTTTCAACTGGTGGCATCTCTGCTGCAGAAGAAAGAAAATTGAAAATTCAATCAAAATCTAACGTCTCCATGTTTTTAATGATGTCGGTAAAAACTCAACGTATCAAGAACTTACGCGAAGGAAAATTTTAGCTTAATTTTCACGTACATCTTCACAACATATACTGTATGTTTGAAATGATATATTATATATATATATATATATATATATATATATATATATATATATATATATATATATATATATATATATATATATATATATGAAGATTAACGTATTTTCAAAATTTTGTTTTATTTTAAGGATAAAATGTTATTTAAACTTCGTAATTAAATAGTAAAAATGTAATTTTCTTTACCTGGATCGGGTTTTTCGTAATCTTCTTCATCATCACTTTCCTGGGCCTTTCAGAAAAAAACATTATAAATGTAAATGAGACAAAAAATAATTAGGAATAACTTTATACACAGATTAATCTTTTTTTAAAATGTTTTATTTTGGTTTCAAGTACAAGTATGGACACTGCAGATCACCAAATCTTCACAACATTTTATTTTCGAAATATATCTATTCAATTGGTTTCCTTCCAAAGTGAAATTTTTTCAAGATTTAAGTTATTATAAATACAAGTATATTCAAACAGACAGTCATGTATAATTATACAAAAATGAACTGCTCGCAAATTATAAGTTAATAACATAAATTCATAAACTTCCTTATCGAATGTAGCAAGCTGAACACAAATTTTAATAATGCTTTTATAAATTAAAAAAATTTCCACAAGGTACAACATGTAAAACATTTTTCACAGTGCTTCAAAATGAGATAATTCATAATCGTTTTAATATATTTTCTTCATGTCATGGATATAAATTGTATTACAAGCTCTTTGATTTAGGACTATTTTGAAGATCAGCAAATGGCACAGATATTGTTATAAAAACAGTTTGGTAAACATAAGACATATAATGGAGGTATTCTTCATAACGTACCTTGTCAGCCATCGCCATGTAGTCTGTAGGAAGATAAGGTGGATATTCACGTTTAACATAAATTTTCAATCTATTTATATTTCAAGTAAGTAATATACAAGTATAAAGTATAAATACAAATGCAAATTGAAATATAAAAGCAAAAATAATAAGCAAAAAAAATCTGCCATCACCACAGAGAAAATAAATAAAATGAAATAAAAAAAAAAACAGAATGGAATGTGAATCAATACTGCTTATTTGCAAGGCACACAATACAAAAGATTGAAATTTTTAAACAAATCAAATTTATCAATTACAAATACAGTGTAAACAAGGCACATTACAGTTACAGAAGCTAAAATAGTCTAACTGACGCTATACAAGGGTAAAATTACACCTCTGTAAATGGTTATATCCTGGTTTGTATCAGAATATATTTCTACTATTCTTTTTCTCTTTGTTTAGGTACCATGTAAAAGAGCATGCATAACAAAAGGATTGGAAAAAGTAGAATTTCGAAGTACACGTAATACATCCAGCAGAAAAGCAAGCCATTTATCATCAAACTATTTAATTATAAAAAAATTACTTAAATAGATAACATACATTTATTTATAATATTGCAATGTAGTATGCTTAGGCTAATAAATATTTTTGTTTCATACAAAAGATTTAAGCAAATTATTTTTTATGAAATAGAGACAAATCAATTACATGAAGAATTAATAACAAAATACTTTTTTAACGATATAATTTAATATGGAGTATTATTTTTTGTCTCATACGGAGAAAGGACTTACCATCTTCCGGTGGTTTTGCCTGATGACGTGGCGCGTTCCGGGTTTTATTTGCTTTTGGAAGAGAAGTTTCAGGTTTTTCATAATCCTGTGCAAAAAATCAGTTTTTATTAGCTCGAAATAAACTTTTGAGTGCTTTTATTCATAGATTGTAAAACAATGCATTTCAGACAGTGAAGAAGAATCAAAGAGTCCTACGGATCGAAATGTCATCTACCCTTTACACCCAAATATTAAAACATAATTGACTAAAGATTACGAAGCTCACCTCGACAAATGCTACCTAGAGTAATGTAAATATATAAATGTTTTTTTTTCTAGTTAATGTACATCTAAAGATTAAAAACGTTGCAAATTTGGTTTTAGTAGAACTTATAGTTACTTAGAAATCAACCTGCTCAAAAACATTTGACCTGTTTACTAATCAAGGAAATTTATATCAAATTAAACATCCAAAGCATGTCTGGAGGTGCTCATCCCTTGATAACTATCTGCAAATTTAATCATAACAGGTCGTGAAATTACATAGCTACTCCCAAAACATTAGCCTGGATATTCATATCATAATGGCAAATGAAATGAAATCCAAAACAATTCTAGAGGTGTACATCACTAGAAACACCATCCATGCTACATTGGTTAAAATATGGCTAGAAAAATAAAGGCAAGATCCAGCATCTGAAGCAAGTCTGGCGGCGTTCATTCATAGATGCATCATCCTTCCTAAACTGGTCCGGCTTATAGTTCCTTGGGAGTGGACCTGTACTAAAAAAACTGCTCATCTAGGTCAGATCCAGCATCCAAGGCCAGCTAAGTGTGGTAGTGTCCATCTCTAGAGGTATCTTCCATAAAGTTTGGTCCAAGTAGGGCTTACAGTCACATGGGAATAGACCTGCTCTTCAAACTCTAACTGGACGCCGATGCTGACGTCGAAAAACTACGCCGAGGGTATAGCATAAGCTCATCTCTTCGAGGTGAAATAAAAATGAATTTTTTAGGTCCCAATCTCTATCAAAAAGTTCAGTGCTCAAATACTCTTGTAGTAAATACTGTACATCAATTGTTTTCTTTATGGAAAAAATTTCCCCAAGTTTCTCGAACATCTTATACTCGCGGATACTTCTCGCTGCAAACAATCGTTGAAATACACAATATGTTGAATGTTTCCTTGGTAAAAAAGATCATTCTTTCGAATACTCTTGTGAAAATTTGAAATCCTATCGACCTTAGGGGCCTCGACTAGTTTAGTATTCCAGGCTCACAAAACACTTATTCAGTCGACATTTAGCAGCTTGACGGAATTCGTAAAGGAGAATGTAAACACTTTGTTAAAGTTAAACCTAAAGATGTGACCACCTGGCCGCTGTAGCAAAATGAAAGACAAGAGGCCCATGGGCCACATCGCTCACCTGAGCACCAAGGGTAGGACTAGTATAAAATGGCTTTTTATTGTAAAGTTTAAATCCAAAAGTAGTCCCATGAGGCCATGACCAATCATGGATTTGCTATTTTTTAGAAAATGATTGAGAAGAAAATTTTTAAAGAATTTTCCTATATATTTCTATGTTAAACTTTGGTCGGCCATTTTGGCCCCGCCCTACCCCCGGGTGTCATGATTTGAACAAAATTGAATCTACACTACCTGAACATGCTTCCATATAAATATGATGAATAATGGCTTTGTCATTCTTGAGAAGAAGATTTTTAAAGAATTTTCCTATATATTTCTATGTAAAACGTTGGTCGGCCATTTTGGCCCCGCCTTACCCCCGGGGGTCATGATTTGAACAAACTTGAATCTACACTACCTGAGCATGCTTCCATATATATATGATGAATTATGAATTTGTCATTCTTGAGAAGAAGATTTTTAAAGAATTTTCCTATATATTTCTATGTAAAACATTGGTCGGCCATTTTGGTCCCGCCCTACCCCCCGGGGTCATGATTTGAACAAACTTGAATCTACACTACCTGAACATGCTTCCATATAAATATGATGAATAATGGCTTTGTCATTCTTGAGAAGAAGATTTTTAAAGAATTAAATTTTCCTATATATCTCTATGTAAAACGTTGGTCGGCCATTTTGGCCCCGCCTTACCCCCGGGGGTCATGATTTGAACAAACTTGAATCTACACTACCTGAGCATGCTTCCATATATATATGATGAATTATGGCTTTGTCATTCTTGAGTAGAAGATTTTTAAAGAATTTCCCTATATATTTCTATGTAAAACTTTGGTCGGCCATTTTGGCCCCGCCCTACCCCCGGGGGTCATGATTTGAACAAAATTGAATCTACACTACCTGAGGATGTTTCCCCATAAGTTTCATCTTTCCTGGCACAGTGGTTCTTGAGAAGAAGATTTTTAAAATATACCACTAAATTTTCATTAATTCCCAATTATCTCCCCTTGAATAAGGGCGTGGCCCTTCATTTGAACAAACTTGAATCCCCTTCACCTAAGGATACTTTGTGGCAAGTTTGGTTGAAATTGGCCCAGCGGTTCTTGAGAAGAAGTCGAAAATGTGAAAAGTTTACAGACAGACAGACGGACAGACGGACAGACAGACAGACAGACGGACGCCGGACAAAATGTGATCAGAAAAGCTCACTTGAGCCTTCGGCTCAGGTGAGCTAAAAAAGTGAGCAAGCTCACTTACCCCACGCTCCCCCAAAACTCAAAGTGCCGAAAATCCCGAAAAAAAAATAAAGGAATCAGAATTTCCTGAAGCACACCTACATACTTACATGTCCGCAAAGTTTGACCAAATTCTGTGCAGCGGTTTATGAGGAATTGTGCTGACAATCTGTTCATCTCTATATTCAAGATATGGCCAAAAATCTCAGCTGAAAAGTGCCGAAAATCCCAGAAAATAAAGGAATCTGAATTTCCTGGTATAATGCACATCTACACACAGTGTACTAAATATCTGCAATGTTTGACCAAATTCTGTGCAGCGGTTAAAAAGGAGTTACGCTGCCAAACTGTTTATGTCTTTATTCAATGTATGGCCAAAAATCTAAGTTGGATAGTGCTGAAAATCCCGGAAAAATAAAGGAAACGGAATTTCCTGAAGATAAACACATCTACACATTGTGTCCTAAATATCTGCAAAGTGCGACAAAATTCTATTTATGAGGAGGTGCGCTGACAATCTGTTCATCTCTATATTCAAGATATGGCCAAAAATCTCAGTTGAAAAGTGCCGAAATTCCCAGAAAAATTAAGAAATAAAAATTTCCTGGTAAAATGCAAATTGCCAAATTTACACATGGCATCCTAAAATATCTGCAAAGTTTGACAAAATTCTGTGCAGCGGTTTACGAGGAGTTGCGCAGACAAACTGTTCATCTCTATATTCAAGGTATAGCCGTAAATCTCAGTTGACAAGTGCCGAAATTCCCAGAAAAATAAAGGAATCGGAATTTCCTGCTAATATGCACATCTACACTGTGTTCCTAAATATCTGTAAACTTGACAAAATTCTGTGCAGTGGTTTATGAGGAGTTGCGCTGACAAAAAATACATGACTGACTGACCGACGGACGGGTCAAAAACATAATACCTCCAGCAACTTTTTACATATTTCCATATTAATATGTAAGAGGGGAATCGTCTAAATAATGAAAGTGATGGAGCGGTAGTAAGAAATGACATGTTATATTTTTAAAATGTTTTCATACCGTTATGAGTACCAAAAATGCAGAAATATATTCCTTGCTTACATGCACTTACATGTTCTCTGGGATTTAAAGTCTATCTACATGCACATTGTTCTTATGTTATTTGAATTTCAAAAACGAGTGATCAAAACATAAAGCACAAAAACATAAACATGGCCTTACTTGTATACTTTCTGTACATTTAAAATTTTTCTTTCAACTATCAAAGCAATGGTCAAGTACAAAACGATTTTACATAAACCATTATCAAAGACAAAGCTCTAATAAAAAGGTATTGACAAAAGCAACCTGAGCAAATATACCTATATATGGAATACATATACCTACAGCTATCATTTAAAGCATAACAAACATTAAATTTGTGAACTATTTTGTTTCCGACAAGTGTCTGATATATAACATTTATGTGATTGACCATTCCCAACTCCAACAATATTCAAAATCAAAAGCATGTGATATCAAACATTCAGAACAGTTCGCAATGCTTCCAATCTCCTTCAAAAGCACGTTAAAACGGACAAACAGTGTTTTGCCTTGTTATAAATTATTGATTCAAAGTAGGAATTTGAATCTATGACATTCTATGGCAAACTACATGCTGTCAGGTACTAGTTTTCTGTTTTATGTTGATAGGGATGCTTGTCACGGGTATCAACATGCTAAATACTGACAACCAAAACAACATTATCTTAAGACTCACAGAGCCAAAAGACCTACATTTTTTATCTGAAGGAAAGCAAAGCCTGCAATAGCCTGACTTTCCTTCTTCTATGAATAGAATCTTTGATTTATTTAAACTGCCATTTTAGTAGCTGTATGCAGAACTATGTAAAAAAAAAGTCCGATTAATTTGTTACCATTATTGCATTTAGTCTGAAATTTTAAGTCTTAAATAATGCTGCTTTGGATATACATTAAATTTTACCTTTTTTGTAGGTCTCCAATTCTATACAAAAGATGTTATATGTAAAATGAAACATGAAGGGATTAAAATGGTATACATAAACCAAAATCCAAAAATCCTCTTACAGAATTGGAGTCATCACTGTTGTGAGTTTCTGTTGGGACAGGTGGTGGCATTCGCTTTACATGTTTTCCATGACCACCACGAGGAGGGGGTGGGGCCGGTCCATCAGGCTCTGATATTGTTCTGGCTAAGTTTGGAGAATTCTTCTGGGTATTGGGAACAGGTGGCATTCTAAACTGCTAAAAAATATACAAAATGGTAAGCATCTAAGATTATTATACCATTATGTTGTCTCTAACGTTTTACTTAAATACATGTATTATTCTGACAAAAAAATGAAAAGTGAAGTTATGTATTAAATAAAAAAATAGAGACTGGTAAATCTTTTGTTTTCAAAATGAGTAATTTCCTCATTTCAAGCATTCAATATTTATGATTCAAGACATCCTGAATAATCAATACTTTTGTTCTTTGAGGTATTGGAGCAGGGGCTATGTCAGGTTTATCATCTGGATCCTCATAAACATCCTTAATAAAAAAAGAACATAATCTGTATCGCCTCAAAACAGGAAGAACTAAAATAACATCTTTTATTCGCAAATCGTCAGTTTGAAATCAATCCGTGATGATTTATTTTCACGTCTGAAAAAAACATTCTATATAAATACAATGAAATATAAATGCTTTGCCACATTTAATATTCGCGAAAGTAGGTCGCCAAATGTGTGAACATTTTTCGCACGCGAATAAAAGTTGATAAGTACTAGTATTTAACGAGGCCCGATCTAGTTGAAAATTACAAAAACGGAATGATAAAAAATTTTAATTCTTGGAAATATATTTGTATGTTTTATGCTTAGAAAAATAAGAATGAAATTTTGTTACCTTGCCTTTATTGTAGTCAAATGGGGGCACTGTCAAGATATGGACCATTTGTCGTGTTTTTATAGACAATTACATACTAAAACTCTTCAATAAACAAAGAAATTGACAAATTACAAAAAATACACGATGAAATTCTTTGTTTTTCATATATATCATGCAATTTTTATTCTTCTTATAAAAAATCAAAAGAAAATTGGAGGTAGCCTTTATTGTAGTGAAAAGGGGGCTTGTCAAAACACAAAATTTGGATTTATTCTATCCAACTACGTATTTTATAGGTCGCAATGGGTTTACATAACACTAACAAACGATTGCAATACTGTATTAGTTTCTAGAAAATAAATAATTCTTACATTATGAAATGATTTTCTCGCCATGCTTTATTTTTCTCTTAACAAGCGACGTTGTTTTACGTGGAAAAAATGGTATAGGGAGGAGGGGGGAGGGGGGTAAAGGCGACAAAATTCCAATTTTTACTAATATCATGTAATATATAGAAAAATTGAATATTTCAGGGGTTGCATTTAAATGATTTATAGACTTATTTTATTTTTTAAAACTGAAGATAATCAATGCATATTTAAGTCTGCAATAAAAAGAACGTGTATAAACACTTCAACATGTTCAAAGAGAAAGACTAAAATCGCTTACTTTTGGTTGCAGTGTTTGTTTTTTTAAACTCACATATTGAAATAAAACAAGATAAAATTAATGAATCTGTACCAAAAAATTGATCCCTCAAAATTAGTTAGGTTCCAAAGTTGTTTATTAATTTAAATATTTAAAAAAAAATAATAATGGAAATGCCAGCTTTCAATGCACAGTCTATAGAAATACCAGGTAAGCAAGATCAGCGAAACATTTTAGCGCAATTTGACGTCATTTTAATTGTGACGTTATTGTGTTCAATTGTGACGGCAGTCAAGGGTATTGTGACGTGCCTGAGTCGACGCTGCGTTAAAACGTATGCGCAGTTCAAGTAGATTGGGCCTCGTTAATACAATTGAAAATGAAGTGGTTGAACACTGAATATCTTTCATTAATGTTAGAGATGTAAATACATCTTGGATCGGCATAATGTTAATTTACTGCTGTAACCTAGCTTTCTATACCTCTGGCAAGTCGGGCTCAGGGGGTTGGGGCTGAACAGGTTTAGGAGGAGGCCGCCTCCCTCCCCTGCCAGGGGGTGGTGCTGGTGGATTATCTGTTTCATCAGGATCTTCGTAAGTAGGCTGAAATACAAATTATAACTAAGAATACTTGAACTACTACTACTAACAAATTAATAAACAAATAATATCCTTTCTATTAGAAAACAGTGTCGAATAAAAGATTCCTTTTTTTTAATCCAGAAAGTAAATTTTCTCAATAAATTTAATCTTATCTTATCTAAACTTATACATATACACCCCCACCCAACTTAAAAAATCAAGTTCTGTGAACAAATTGGTTGTTGGTGGAGGGATTGACAAATTACATTTTTTTTATAAACAAACTTTGAATTTAGCCGCTGCCATTACACTGAATACGAAATATTTGTTCTCAGTTTGGTTCCGATAATTACAAATACCGGTAAATGTATATCATTTCTGGTATCAATTCCAATACAGTGTATTTTTAAGTTATATATGTTTATGGTCATCATACATGTACATTTGGAAAATATCTAGATTTAAAAAGTTCTTGAGGAAGTTTCTAGTGCTTGAGGACTAGATAAAAATAGTCAAAATGCTGGACTTTTCTGATATAAAGTGTTGTAGGGAAAAGATAGTGTATAGGCCTAACAAATAATTTTCATCAGTTAAAAATCCATGTTTTTTTTCTTCGCTGTCACAAAATCATCAGATGACCTCATCTTGAACTTATGTTTCAATGGGGTTTTTTTCTGAGTTAAAGTATCAACATTTAAATAGCACTAAAGGAAAATCGTTTGAGATAAAGATAAAAATAAGGATGAGTTCAAAAAGGACTATCTTTGACTATAAAAAAAGGATCAGAATGATGAGGGGAGAGGGTAAATTTTAATGCCTTACATTCTCTCTTAAACTCACCTGATCATCAATTTCCGGTACAGGGGGCTTCATTGGAGGACGGGATGGTGGAAGCTTCGGAGCAGGGGAAGACATCTCCTCTGGTACCTCGTAGTCAGGCTTTAAATTTAGAGTAAATAACTTTTTTTATTTCATGTTTAAGTACTTAATCTTTTAAAATGTTTAAGTAATTTATTAATACCCAAATATAAATATTCAATGTACTAATATATTAGATTCATTACTTTTGATACAGAAATAAAAAAAATGTTTGTCTTTTCATTAGAATAACCGAGAATGTTAAATGTACTTTTATTTATGAATTAATTTCATCACGGGCATTACACGTGTCTACGTTCTTATTAAAGCTATAGATAATGTACAAACTGCTGTCTGATTTTCATCAAATATTCTTTACACGTAAGAACCGTTTATTTTAAAGGCATATTTCTTCTATTCTTTTGTGTTATTGATGACTTGGCCGAAATTGAATCGTATAGTATTCCTAGAAAATTTTAAAACATACAATATAGAATAAATATTGAATGGCAGTGACAAAATCCTATCTATATAATACTCAAAATCAAGTAACACGGACTGCAAAAATTGATGAACAATAAGTTGCATGAAATAATAAATATATTACAAGTATACATATAGGAAGCAAAGTGATGCATTTAATCTAATATAAAGGCATATCAAGAATATTTATAATATTTTAAGAATGTTATGGCTATATGCTTCGAAATTTTAATTGTGAACATATGGTAAAGTATTACAAGCTATAATTATGTCAAACAATCTCAGTATTATGACTAATGTCAAATAACATACACATATTAACTTCATCTTAGAACTTTTTGTTAACTTGATTTTAAAAGATACTACAAAGTTGCAGCAAATCATCACAAATGAAATGCAGAGATGACTACACGCCCACATTAATGTAAATGAACATATGATATGAAGTTATTTGTAAATATCAAATTCAAGCAATTCTAGTTTGAAGCGGTTATTATAAGTTTCATTCAATATTGAAAAGAGAAGACAAAAGATTCGAGATCAATTCAAACTTCCTGAAATTATATACTTTTTAACAATTGCAAGCTATTTGTATTGCATAATTTCGTAAAATCTAAGAAATATCATGATAACCAGTGACCGTTGCTTGAATACACTCTGAGATGCGAGTATAAACAACACACGAAGGTAGAGAAAATCTAGCCAATGCTCTCTAATGAATTTACAAGCAAGTAAAGTATATTGCCTTTAATTTTTCAAAGGAAATTTTGAAGACAAAAAAAATTATTTTATGAACATTACATACTTCCTCTTTCTTGGGTGTTGATACAGAATGATTAAAATTGTTAAATTGTAAAGGGCTCAAGGTTTAACAGCTACATTGTTAAGCTTATTGTTGAGGTATTTTTAAAAATAAATGAAAAGAGGGGTGTGTAAACGTTATGGTGAACAAGTGGTTTTGTACAAAAACACTACAGTAACCAATACAGGTACTCGTAACACTATTAGAAAACTATTCCATCGTGAATATTTCGGAAGAAGAAAAGTGTTATACGTGAGGTAAAAGCTTCGATACAAATGAGAAATAAGCAGAAAGGCCTGAACAGCCATCAAACCTGATTGAGTAACGGGTCATCCGTTTCTATATAAGCAGGCTGTAAAAACACAGTAAGTTTTATATAATTCAGATACCAGAAAAGCAGCCAATAAATCAGCAATTTATAATTCGATACACTCGTGAATACAGAAAAAGACTAAATAGATAAATATCATTTACTTAATTTCTTTAACAGGTTACTCTAAATCAAACTACTAGAAGCAAAGCTTGAATATCTTAGTTCGATACTTATGATTATTAAAATTTTTCTTGTTATCCAGGATTAAGAACAGTCACACACTCATTTAAACAAGAAAATGATATAAGTAAATGATATGTAAATCATATATGGAGATAAAGAACAGTTTTCGAGCTCAAAAGTCCATTAAACAGGTGTGACCGATCGGAAGGGATGCTCACTCCTCCATTGGCACTTGATCCCACCTCTGATGTTTTGGAGGTTCGTATTTGCTCTGCTCCTATTTTTTTTTAATGTTTGATGGACTTCTGACCTTGAATACTGATCGCTATCTCCATAAATTTCATACAGCAATATATTGAATACAAATGTAGAGGTAAGCACCACAATCACAAACGTTAAGATGCAACTCATTAAACAACAGTTATCGTGCTTTAGGTCTTTTTATTCGCCATCCAATGATTTAATAATTAATAAGTAAACAAAATACATGCAAAACTACGACTAGGTGAACAGAATATTATTGAATTAAAGATCATTACACCATTCAAAGTTGATAGTGTGCAGATTGTACAGTGTTAGAAATACACTGTAAATGTATCATATACTAGTATTTGATAAGAAGACTATTATGTGATAAATGAGTTTTAACTGACTAATAATGGTGTGAGGACTATAACTTATTATAACATTATTTACAATGATACAGTGGCAATGTAGTGACCAATAGAGCAAAAGTAATTCGTAATATATAAAACGGTTGTCAA